TCGACAGTATGTCTAAATGGGCAATGAAGATTGTACGTATCTGGACGTGCCCTGCTATATCAATAGTCATATAGCTTTACAATAAGATAACGTAAACGATGCGAGAAGGCCTCATAAATTGGTCATAATTGTATATGAATGCACAATATAATCAGATAGTTCGAATTGCTTATATCCACAGCCGAGAAGCTTAAAAAACTTGCTCATGGGGGCAACTGCATCAAAAAACATTAATTAAATTATTACGAGGACTTGGTTATTCATAAGTTCAGAGTTACTATATGTCTCATTTGCAGGGTGTGCGATAGACTTACCTCCACGTGGTGCAACCTGGGCAACGTATACTCATACGGCAAAAAAGTCTATTGATTAGCAGTTGAATTCTCACTTCAAACTACCATCACCTCACTCTATGGCATATTCGACTATTTTCACAATACTCACCTCACCTTTGTTCTATCTTTGTGTTTGTCTCTTACATCTTTGAAACACTCTTCCGTTCCCCCTCTCGACTTTTTTCACTTTGATGTTCCTTCCCCTCTGTGAAGCCTGAAGTCAACTAAAGAGCTAATGATAACCATCAAGACGCCTGCCATTTGATATAAATATNAGTGTGATCCTTAACCCCCGCCTTTACATCCTTATAGCATTGTTGACGATATTGCAAGACCCAATTATTTTACCTTATTAGTTCTGCAGACATTTATTTATTTATATCAAATGGCAGGCATTTCGAATGTTACCATTAGCCCTTTAGTTGACTTCAGGCTTCACAGGAGGGAGGGAACATCAAAGTGAGAAAAGTCGAAAGGGAGGGTTGTAGGGAATAAAAGAGTGTTTCAAAGACGAAAGTAAAAAAGGTAGAAAAAGGTGAGGTGAGTACTGTGAAGTAGTCGAATATAACATAGAGTGGGGTGATGGTAGTTTGAAGTCAGAAGTCAACTGCCGGTCAATAGACTTTTTGTTGTATGAGTATATGTTACCCAGGGTGCACCATGTGGAGGTAGCTCCATCGCACACCCCAGTTCTGAAGACATCCATTTAAGTTTATTTTGAAGTGAGTGCCTATTTTTTGAGTTGTAAAATAACTAATGGAAAAATGCTTACATATCTGTCTTTCTACTTATGAGAAATCTCCAGTTTTAATCAGTTGAAGTTCCGAGTAATCTAAGTAGTTTATTTTATTCATCAATGATATTTTTAAACGGTTTGATAAGAGTCTAGTATGACTTCTATTTCTCCTTCTCGATGACCATTTTTACTGAAAAATCTCAGTAAACAATGAACTGAACACAGAAACCTAATCTAAAGTATTGATTTTATTGGCTAGATTTGAATTGCTTACCTTGGGATTTTGTAAGTAAATTCACTACTTATATCAATAAATATGACTTTAAGTAAAACGAGCATTTTAAGTATAAAATTCAAACTTATGTTGTGAATTCATTGTTAATCATTTTCATCAAAATTTGGAATTTAAATTAGCCACAGGTGTAACTTAAGGCATTGTATCACTTAATGATTGTCTAACTGTTGTAACCGAATTCCTACGGGAAAAAGGTTATTCTCATTTTATGCATAAATGACTTTAAACGATTTAAAGTGGAGTGTGTAAATATTTATTTAACCATGTTCCTAAGGAAAAACATAATTCTTCAAATCCCACTTTGAACCATAACAAAGAAACCAACTGTCAGTATTCAAGTAACATAGCAGCCAAACGTAGTCCCGATCATTTTCAGATTTGACAAGATTTTAAAGTGAGCATTAGTAAAAACTTTAAAAGCTGTATTAAGTAAATAAACCTTAGAATTTTTAAACGATAATTCCACTTGTTGTATGTGGAGGCTAATTTTAAGCGTGGATTTTTTACTTGACATTAGGGGTATAAAAATAGTCCTCTTCTATTCGGACAAAATTGGCTAGCGTGACGCCGAATCTGAAGCTGGGATATATATATTTTGTGTGCAAATTTGATAAATTATGATTTTATAATCAATTATGAGGAATAATCAAATTAATTGAAATGGATTTTATCCCTTTCTTAAAGAAATGAGTATTTCTAAAACGCTCATTTTACAGCAGGAATGTAAATATTTATTCTTTTTTTCGCTCAAAGTAGCAAATTATTCAAAATATAAATTCAACTAATTTTTAATAAAGAAAATAATTTTTCATTAGACGTCCCTATTTCAATTTCTGAGTGCATATTTCGCAGATATATTTGACAGAAAGTTTGGGCGATATTTATTGCCTCATTTTTGCATATGCGACTTTTTTTACAACTTACTTTAAAACTTAAATCATTTGGGGGTGGACGAAATACGTCTCAAATGTGTTTTTGTGCGTTTTGATTTGTATCTATAAAATTGCACGCAGCTGAACACCGGGCACAACGACAGAACTAGCATTCAGGCGAAAAAAAATACGCAATTCAGTACACGTGATGTATTTAAATTTGTCTGATTTGCTTGAACGAAAAAAATGAGACAGATTAAGAGGTATTGTATCAGCTTCCTCCAGTTGTCACAAAAATTTAAATAGAAAATTTGAATGGAAAGGATTTAGCCAACTTTTAAATTACCCCTTCCCCTGGCTTTCCACAAAAATTTGATAGCAGTCTTAAGTTTGTGGTGAACGATCAACCAGCGCTTCTCTCTTTTTTTCAACCACTTTAATGCAGACATTACAGTTGTGACTGAATCATTATCATCAGAATTTTTCCTTCTTTCCGGGAGCCTGTCAATTGTCCGACTAAAGTATGAGCAGATTTCCAGTTACCAATTTTCGACAAATAGGTTTTCAATGACCTTCAGTCAATATATCCTACTTTACTCGAAAAACAACAAATTGATTAGCATTTATTCCAGTACCCGTTTAGCAACAAGCATTTTCCACTTGAAAATTTCGGAAGTTTGAAAACGTTTCTCAACACACTTTCCATATAAATTACAAAGTTGATTAGAAGATGTAAACCGTGAGCTTAACGAGTAATAAAACCCCGATTCAAGGTTACGTTTTTTCATGTGTAAATTTGATGATTTTTTGTAACTACACATAGCCCCTTCTAATTTGTCTGTTACCATGGTAAATCGCGTTTAGCAATTCTAAAGTTTAGACAAAATTCCCACCACCCAAAATTTAAAATTACCCAAAAAAGTTAATTTTGAAGTATTCTGAATTGTTTAAGCCAATCGTTAGAACCTTTCGTTAATTTCAATAAACAAAAAAGAGGCAATTAGGGCATGTGCTCAAGCATTTACAAGACGCAGGAAAAATGTTATTTTACGCCTTATCATTATTATATTTTTACTTAAAGAAGAGAGTGAAAATTCCATACTAATTACAGGACGGCACTAAAAATTGGAAAACGGCAAAATTGTCAATTAAGGAGAGAGGGAAGTCTGCATAAATGCCAAGTATAAAGGAAGACATCACAAACGTAACTGCTTCATTTAACTTCACCTGGATGTATCTTCTCTGTCTTTGCAGTTTTCAGTTTTCTGATTTCATATCGGCAATGCGTATATGTTAATGTTGGTTCATTAAAGGGAATAATAATTCAAGTTAATTTGATACATCTACCTAACATTAAGCATTATTTTCTCCAATATCGCATTATTATACCTTCATCTTACACTTGTCCTCATCATTAAATATTGGCACTTAATGCTCCAATTTTACCGGCAACATTTTATGAGAGCAGTTTTTTGTCAGTTATTAAGAGTTCAACTAATCCAATTAATTTGGGCAAAGACTGTTATTTTCATAATAATTGAGTTTGTTAAGGACGAAGGCCGTATTATCAGTTAGTTGAATCAAAGTTTTGGTAAGTAGGGCGAGCGATAGACTTACCTCCACGTGGTGCACCCTGGGCAACGTATACTTATACGGCGACTTCTGCTATTGATTAGCAGTTGAATTCTCACTTCAAACTACCATCACCTCACTCTATGGCATATTCGACTATTTTCACAATACTCACCTCACCTTTGTTCTATCTTTGTGTTTGTCTCTTACATCTTTGAAACACTCTTCCGTTCCCCCTCTCGACTTTTTTCACTTTGATGTTCCTTCCCCTCTGTGAAGCCTGAAGTCAACTAAAGAGCTAATGATAACCATCAAGACGCCTGCCATTTGATATAAATATTAAACATTAAACACGAAATGAGGCATCCATTATTAAATTTAAGGGCGTGAATCATCGGTTATTATTTCTTGTTCCGAGATAAGAGGCAACTCAGATAACATCACTTAGGAATACGATAAATAAAACGAACTGAAAAGTAGACCCCTCTCTGATAAGGTTCTCTTTTTTCACTGTGATGGAATTCCAGTGGGATTCTAACTTTGTTTGGACAAGAAGAGTGCGCTACAAATATTCCCAACAAATCAACGAGAATGCGTGTTACCGCTCCTCTCTAGGTTGGGAACTTACTCTTGCAGAACTGTTTGGGCAATTTGTGTTGTGTGGGAGGGAGGGGGGAGCGATAAAATGTACAATTACAAAAAGAGTATCTAAAGGGAATCTCCAATTCCCAAAACATGGAATCATAGTTAGCTCAGCTTCTATATGATGGTAGAGGCGTGGTTATTTGTACTCAAGTTGCTGGTCTCAAAGGGCGTTTATCACTTGATCCAACACTGAAAGCCCGAATACCGTCACCTCTGACATCTGCTCTATTGATATGCCCTCGACGTTAATTAGTGGTTTTCACTGAAGTTGTGTGCTACACTGAATGCAAAGTTACAGTTGGTGTGAAGCGTGCGTGGAGGTTCTAAGGAAGACCTGTCAATAAAGAAACACGGGTCGAACACCACCAAATCCCATTATTTCCCATACTAAAAGCATTTGAACTTATTTAATTCCCCAAAAATATTAAAGTATCGCTCGAATGACAACCTTTAAAATTAATATATATTTACCCGTGCTTTAAAGAAAGATTCAAACAAAAAGTGGGTTAAAACGTTAAAAGCCAAAGTGCATACTCCACCCCAATTCAAAGTAGGGCTCTTGAAGAATGTGGACGATCTCTCTCGCGTTCATCATTGCAACTACCCGCGTCTTTAGTTATATCCGCATCAGAACCGGAAGCCAGTTCCTGGATGGCTGTATTCTCCTTTACAGAGTTAGAACAACTGGGGGATTTAAGACCCGTCATGGTTTGAATCATCGCATGAGGATGATTTACTCTAGAGTAGCAGTCTCGGCATAAGTTGAAGAATTTGCATACAGTACAAGTTTTTATGCATTCTACCACAGCAAGGCAAATATTGCAGTGCTCATGACTCCAAGGGCGTTCCATGTGCAGTTCGTAGGTTATTCGCATTGTTGAAAACTTCGCTCTACGCAGCGTGGAAAATTCGAGCGAATTCTGGGTTGTGAAAGCGAGAAATGAATCCCAATTACTCATGACTTTGCTCGTAATGAAATTGGTCTCCATATGTGGAGTGAAATTAGGCTGACTTTTAAGAGTTATAACGAAGTAGCCTTTGTCCAAGCAATCGAGACTTTTGCTTATCCCTTCTTGTATTGCTTTATCGAAAGCCTCCTTGTTGTCAATTCCTTTGTTATTGGTCCCCATGGATTTCTTAAAATCCAAGAAAATACGCAAAACTTGAGGGCAGAGTTTTTTTAAAAAAGGCTATTTGTCAAATAATGAAACTATGTGCCAACTTGTAATCTTAGATCTCAAGAGACTTCACTCAAGAACAGTGAAACAGCTTTGTCAATTCAAGTTGATGTTTGCGTAATGAGACTTACTTCTTCTCCCCAACTTACTTGACCAAATAAAGACCATCAGGGACATCAAATAACCTTGAACCCTGTTAAAATTACTGGTCAAAAGCCCAAAATATTAAAATTCCATTCACAATATATAGCGGTGAGTTCAATGAAAGCTGCGAAAATCAGCATAAACTCCAGCGAAACAATAGTTGACTTTAGAGTTTTGTACAATAAGCAGATATATTATTAGTGGTGTTACTGTCGCAATCTTTTGAACTTTGAAATAGAACGTTTCCACCAAACACTCTTTTTTGTTGGAAGAGTGCAAGCAATGTACGAGTGAGGAGAATACACAAATTTGAATGGCCAAAAGAAAAAGTAAATCTGCAAAAAAGGAACAATTCACCAGCTTCTGCTGTGCTGAATGAGAGCAGAAAAAATGCCCATCTCTTTTTTGGTTAAAAAAATCAATAAGGTCGGGATACTGTAGACATGAATGCACTCTAATCGATGAAACGAATTATGAATCATTAATTTTGGTAGTGAATGTGGTGAAAATTTGGATTCTCAGATCAACTGAAAATTCTTTGTTACCTTGACTTTACTCTCAGTGCAACTCTCTGCAACTCCTCCACCCCCCACCCCCCCACCCCTATCTGTAACGCATGGAACTTTCATGATAAATTCACCGGGATTTCTAACAGTTTCGGGGACATTAAATGGGTAATTGAAGTTGAATAATTATTTGGCCAAAGCGCGTGTTCATTAAGTGTGAATAAAGGTATACATTTATAGTGACACGACGGCATTAATTAATTGTAACCAACCTCAAGTATATTTTCTAAGACTCCGGGCCAATAATCACCGTCAAAGTAAGGAATTTCATGTAAATATCGAAATTTGCCACCTTTAAATGCCGATTGGAAATCCGTGAAATCTTCAATAATCCTCTCCTGCTTTGCTTTCAGGAGCATTAGCACATACCATTGCTGAAGACGCCTTTGACTAGGGATTAGCTGATGTACTGGACGTTTGTTAAAGAGATAATTGGAATTGTTCACCGGTGGACAGGCAAACAAATATGCCTTTAAAAATCCCCTCTCCTTAACATATTCTAAATAGGAACTCAAAATAATATGATATGTGCTGGTTCTGTACCTCCTTGGCTGAAAGTACTGAACGGAGTCCACGTAGGCCAGGTACACCGCTCCCCTATTCTGCTCCAAGGATTCGATCCCGTGTTCTTGAACGAAAAAGCCGAATAAGCAAACCTCTTTTCCATGGATTTTTTGAAATGCAAAAATTCCCTTAATGCAATGCATGCAATCATCAGCTGCTCTCCCGTTTATTCTTAAGTAGTCTTTAAAATGTGGCAATATTTTGACGAAGCTGTAGGAACTTGAGGCTACTCGAATGATGACTGGGCACTCACTGGCACCTTCGGAAGTCAGAAAATCATTCACCTTTCTTTCAAGAAAGTTACTCAACTTATTAGTTGGCAAATTCTTGGCAGTGAAGGGGTTAATCTGTCGTGATATTCCTAGTCTCTGAAGACACCCTGGACAGAAGTAGCCGTCAGTCCAAATTTCGTCCAAATGAAGAGCACAGATTTGATGGAAACGGCGACCACAACGTTGGCACTGAATGAACCTCTCGTCGTCTATATCCGTATTTGTATATTTCTTAAAATCACTTTTTTTCAATTTCCTAAAGTAATATTAGTACTGCTCATTAGCTTTACTTTTAAGAAGCCAAGAAGTCACTCTAGTCAATCTCCCTTGATGTTAAAGATGTGTTCTAATCTGGATTAGACTCTAAGGTTCCTTAGAAGGTCGAAAATTCTCTAACATCCATTTTTTATTCACCAAATCAGCCAAAAATTTATTGGAGTCCCATTTAACCAGAAATGTAAACCTTGAGTTTGAAAACATCAAAAGAGTGGCGTAATTATAATGAAAAGAAATAGGAGCAAAATAAAAAAAATAAAACTGGAACACACGTCTATAAAAGTTGGAGTTGTTTTACTTAAGTAAATCTTGGAAACTGAAGCGGATTGCAACACTAATAAGCATTGGCTTATGTTTAGTAATCTCTATGGCAATATCTCCCACTTCGAAATTGTTCCCAGGATTAGAAAAGGTACCTCAAAGCTATTGAGGAAACAGACGTATGTGACATGGAATTAATTTATTTGAGTTGTGTCCTAATGTCGTGAGCTAAGTCATTATAGACCATTTATTCTGCATTGACCACGTCATAATTAGTGATTGCTGGTTGGCCCATCTGCCAATTAGAGCGATCGATACCACAATCGCAACTTTCCGGAATTTTCGAACCGCTTCCCTGCTCCAGCCATGCTAGCGTTTTATTTCTCACAAACAATAACTAAATATAATCACAATTGAGTATATTTAAGCCTAATTATTAGCCTAAGACAGTTAAAAAACTACAAAATTGACTACTAGTGTGAAGGTCACCTTACAAATTATTTAGCACTTTAAAGTTTCATAATAAGACTTACAAAGATTCATTCGAAATTGTGTCCGTCAATCGAAATTCTGCCTTCATTTTACCATGGCAACTACTGCAGTGCACACACTCAAATTCCGTCTTTCTAAATGAAAAATAGTTACAATAGAAACTTAATGTTCATCCTACTCATTTTTATAATAGTAGTAGACGTCATTAAAATTTATGGTACAACCACGAGACGAGCAGTTCATCGATGTGTAAAAGAAATATTTTTGACCGCAACAAAATCCCATCTCTTGCATTACATGGTCAATCGAATTATTGAATAACTCACAAATCTACATGAAAAAAGTGCACGAAACGTGAATGAAAACAAATATCTGTACCTTGACAGCACAGGAGTGAACAATGGAAGCTTTCGAATTGTATAATTTGGCATTATTGAATATTAAATTGAAATCCTCCACCACTTCCCAAGGATCTTTGTACTCCATGCACTCTAATTTATGCCTTATAGTTGACAGATCCATTGGATTTTTGACAATATCCGGGTAATCTGGTATATTGAGAGCGATAATATCTACTGGAAAACGAAACCACGAGGCACGCTCATCATAGAATAGGTATTCAAGAAGACCAAGAAAACTATTTAGGAGTTCTGCGCGTGTCCACTTCTTCCATGGACATCTCGAAGGGTCATTATTTGAAACGCTCGCTCTTCTTTGGAGCACTTTATCTATCACCCCAAGAGAATCGTAGTAATCAGATGGGGTTCTCGAATTATGAAACAAAACTGATTCCAATTCTGTATAGTAATCGTGAAGATTGCAAACTTTTAAGCTATAAAACCTTTTCGACTCAAATGCTTTAGCCGCTGAAAAAACACTAGTTTGATATTAAGGAAGTGGAGCGTCTTACAGTTTCCTAATCCAAGATGCCCTACACACACTGGTTACTTGCGAAAGTTCCAAATTTTGACATGGTTTAGGAATAAGTCTGATGACAAAAGAGGAATCTGAGTCAAAGTGCAGTGTCAAGTTAATTGGATCTGACGAATGCACAACTCTACAATGAATACACATCATTCTCAGGCAATCTTTGGCAATCAAACAACCAGGAGTTGGGCAATTCTCCCTTAACTGGCATGTTCCAGCATGTGCCAATACTCTCCTTGCGTGTTCGCACCCAGGACGAGAACAAGACCCCACGTGTTGGCGGCAATTTGCAGCATGCTGGATGGGCAGGTGGAACTGCTCTTGGGATGCAAGCCTCATTCGTTTCACTTCAGCATCAGGAGACGACATATGGCTAAAATTGCAATAGTAACAACGATAAGTGGAAGTATCATAGCAAGCACGAAATTTAGCTTCTTATTAATAAAATGTCCTTACTTTGATTAACTATTGACGATTGGGTGGAAACGATGCACAAACACGGAGTCTTTTTAAAAATAGAGTGTACTTCGGATTAGCTGGATATTTTCTGACAAATCTTATGATTTGAGGTTATCACTACTCATAATTCATCAGTGATTGAATGGTGTGCAAATTGGACGTTTTTTTGGCTATATTACAGGAGTGAACGAGGATATCAAATGAGTAGTGATGAATTATTAATCAAATTCTGTGCGTGATTGATGCATAGGTGTATTTTCAGTATGCATTTATTTATAGCAAATGGCAGGCGTTTTGATAGTTATCATTAGCCTTTTAGTTGATATCAGGCCTCACAGAGGGAAGGAGGAACGTCAAAGTGAGAAGAATTCAGGTGGGAGAATAGAAGAGTGAATCACAGATGTAAAAGAAACAGACAGACACAAAAGCACAGAAAGGGTAAGATGAGTACGGTGGATGTGGTGCAATATGACATACAGTGGGGGTGATGATTGTTTAAAGTGAGAAGTCAACTGCCGGATAATGGACTTTTTTTGATGTGTGATTATACGTTACCCAGGGTGCACCACGAGGAGGTAAGTCTATCTCACACCCAATTTTCAGAATGTATGAGTACATGGTTGTTAGCCTAGGCCTGAAATCTCTTTGAGCTATAATTATGCAAGTGATGAACAAGGTTATGCGTTCCAGAATGCTCTTGTTTGCGCTGGACAGTAGTTATATTGCGGAAACCATCACAGATATTTACATAAAACCATCGAAAAATACTCTCTACTAAAATCCAAGGGTTTAAATATATTGAATCAAGGCGTGTTATTGCTACACTAAAACAATGAAAGTTAATTACATGAGGACACGCCTATTAAAGTTGAGCATGCTTAGAGCGATGAAAATTCTTCCAATTAATGTCCTAGTAACTAGTTCCACAACGATTTCAGTAACCAAAAATTAGATGAAGGGAGCGAACTGAATTTATGTTATGATTAATTGGCACCATATCATAACTGGGACATTTTACCCTTCTAACGAAAATTTTAGCTCTATAAATACCTACGAAAGGTATAGAAACATCGAAATTGGTCAATCTTTTTTCCTTAGATACAGTATCTGTCTTCAGGCAAAAGCTTCAAATCTACAAGGTATGAACGAAAATTTCATTTGAAACCGAAACGTCCAGAATAAAGATCGTGTTGATTGTTGTGTTTTCTTTTAGGAGTTTCATTTTTCAAAAATCAAGGAAGGTCGAAAGTTGGTCTTCAAGGACCAGACTTAATTTTTTCATACTGCTTCAAAACCTGAGGTCGGAGATGTTTCAGCTGATGCTCTGCATCCGCTTCGAGCATCACGCTGCCATTCCGAGCTTCGGTGACTCTTTCTACCATTTGTCAGTTGCGTCGATGGTTAGAGTATTCGTAGCACTTAAAACTAGACAAAAGGAGGTTATGCCTCATTGAATAAGGACATCTTATATATCTTTATTATGGCAAGCATATTAATCGACAAAACTAACTTGTTTATTCACCCTGACGATTTATGTAATACCAAAATCAAAAGTTTCATCAATTACTCAACAACCAGTTACTATTTCACAAATGGGTAGTGTGTGACTGGACATCTGAAGAATTAAGCTTCTACAAAAGCCGGTAGGGTTAAGAAACTCTCATTATTCTTCTTTACAAGTGGGGGGGGGGGGGGGCAATTGAAGGGAGTTGAAGTTCTGACCGGTTAATTTTGATTTCACTTACAAGGTTTCGAGTCAATTACGTTTAGTGAATTATTAGGGCGGAATAATCTTGGAATAGCGTTAATTATTTACCCATTTTTGACATTATACTGAATTTCCTACTTTTCATTCCCTGTACAAGATGCTACTTGAATAGATATTTGGTTTATTCTGCCGCGATTCAGAGAATTTGCCTGATTTTTTTAATTATCGATTAACACTGGAACATTATTAATGACTTCTTCCGCAGCTACAGAATCTTGGAGTTTAAGCAGATGCGAAGAAGTGGATGGTAGCAGGTGAGGGAACTGGCACGATAGATGTACTAGAAGCATTCAGACGTCAATGACCTTCCATCTTAGCTTACGAAGTTTTCACTCAGGCAGTTAGACAAAGGAACACATCAGATAATTCTGCATGATTCAGTATTTTTCCATAGACTGATGAAATTTGTGCGTGGGCAGTACGGACTTTGTCAGATATGATAAATAATACGACGTCACCAAGAATTCTCAACAATTATCTTCGAAATAGTTTTCGAATTTAATGAACAGATTACGATGTGGTTAGCCGTCAATTGACGTATATAAATTCATAAAAGCAAGGAATAAATTTTTTTGTGGTATATATATGTATATTAAATAGTTAACTTCAAAAATAAATAAATATTTTATCCAATAATACCAAAAAACCTATATGCTATGCGTGTCCTATTTCTAGTCTTATAAAATAATATACAAATTATTTAATACAGAATTATTTCTTAGGGTATGTTAATGGATTTCATTGAAAGTGGATGACTACACTATCCGATTATTAGCCCTTCTTAAGTTCATAATATTTTAAATTGAAGTTTATGTTCGTATCACGGACAAAGTACAAATCAAATATACACCGTGAACTTTATTAATATAGTACTTTCCGATAATTGATATGAAGAAACACATCAGTGCTTCAAATATAGAGCTTTAAAGTTAGTATAATATTTCCTTTTTACAGCACTTATTCCCTTAACCTACGAAAATGACCATGAAAAGTGAACTCAACTCGAAATATAAAATAATTAAATGCTTTGAAATTTAAATGATAATTTGATGCAATTTCCCTTATATTAGTACATCAGTGACAAGCTGTCAATGAACATGCCCACACGATCACGAATAGGCTATTTTCATAGTTAAATCTACTTAACAAAAATAACTATCTCACAAATATGGCTCAACTATGCATTCTCTTACCTAAGTTAAGTCTGCCTAGTCTCCTCTCAATCTTAAAACTCGATAAATCTACAGAAATTTCAAAGTGGAATTATACTGAGTTTAAAATCTTCCACCCTAATTTATTTTCTATAGGCAGTGTACAAACTTAATGCATAAGCCTAAGCAAATCGACTTAAAAATAAGTCAATACACGCGCCAAATCAATAGTAGCCCTTGTCACCCAGTATAAGGACGTGGAAAATAATATTTCTTTACTAATTTATGTGATGTTATAAGTACATTCAAATCCATACTTGTGTAAATAATAAGATATGGGGCAAACTAATTTCGTATACTGCTGTTGACACAAGGAACAATGAAGACCGTATCGACTTTTTACTTTTTATTTAGAAGAAGTAATATAACACTGCACATTATTTCATATTAAGCCTAATATAGTAATGATAAAATCAGAGGAGAGAATCAAAGGAGAGGTTTACAAGGTACGTCCACGTCTACTTGCAGGATAATTGACGGCATCACTTTTGCCAAGATCTTCATCATCAATGCCTCCAGTGAAGATCATGAAATCGTCTCCTCGTACCAAGTCATCTGCACAAGCACAGCAAGAATGCGTCCACCAAGCTTCGGCCTGAAAGGTAACGAGACAGATGAGCAAAAGGAAAGTAATGAGGCCTTTCTCCATTTTTGAGTTCGTTTACGAATTAAATTTCATGTGAATGGAGTAGTTTTATACTTGCTGAAAACTTCTCACGATTGGTTGAAATATCTAATTGTGTTTGAGAGGGAAAACTGCGGTAGGTATCGGGTGGATAAACATTTTAATAATATTTTTTACACACAATTAGTTTTAATGAATAATTTCTTTTTTCTATTATGAAAAAACTTACTAATTTTACGGTAGCAGACAGTGTGAGTTATGTTCTAACCATCAGACAATTGGAATTGATATTTCTGTCCTTTATAGTTGGATTTTCATATCTGCAAATGCCAGTAAAAAATACCTTGTTGGATAAAAAGAAGGTGAAATCTAATATGTCACAAGATATTGGGTCAACTAGCTAAAGATTTTTGTTCAAAGCAAATGTACACTTCAAATATGAAAACAATATGAGAGAAAAGGGCGAGGCAGAGTTTGAAGAGAAAGAAAAAAACGTATTTACAGAGAAAGGATGGAAGATTTAATCTCAAAAGGTGACTTCCATGTTTTTATTATTCATTATTCATTTGATAAGGAGGCGACTCTAAAAAATTAAATCGAATAAGAGTTAGAGCAAATGTAATTTACTACTTTAAGCATTTTGGGGTGTGCGATAGACTTACCTCCACGTGGTGCACCCTGGGCAACGTATACTCATACGGCAAAAAGTCTATTAACCGGCATTTGACTACTGACTTCGAACTACCACGACCCCCCCCCCTGGTTGTCATATTCGACCCCTTCCACAGTACTCATCTTACCTTTTTCTCTATCTTTGTGTTTGTCTCCTACGTCTTTGAAACACTCTTCTGTTCCCCACCCCTCGACTTTCTGCTACTTTGATGAACCTTCCCTCTGTGAAGCCCGAAGTCAGCTAAATGGCTAATGATATCTATCAAAATGCCTGCCATTTGATATAAATACTTTAAGCATTTTCACCATCCCTAGAGTCTGTGAAGGATAGATGAGATGCAGATAGCGTAATAAGTGCTTGACTTAACACGAGTTTACTAAATGGGGGGATTTTGCATTGTGACTCAACAACAAAAAACCTTACTTGAAAAGAACTACAAGGCCATCTTTGCGCTAATCAGAATTTATCTGATTAAAACAAACACTACCCCGGGGCAACTGAATGATAATCAAGTGTTTAATCCCATTGTAACAACTATGCAACCGTGACAATAAATCATAACGATTAATTGATTGTTAAAAAGGTGGCTTGTTCCGAGTACGAAAACACATTATCTATCTTGATTAATTTGAACTGTATTGCGACAATATGACATATTTTTGAAAGTCGCATCTAATAAACGAATTGAGCAAGTAAATGTATGGATTAGAAATTTAAGTGACTTGAGGAGAGAATGCGAGAATTCAGCAAGGCCATACTAGACAACTTGATGTTCTTCTTTTCAGATTTAAGGGGTAAAGATCGACTTTGAAATTCATAGTTATGAAATGAATTTGAAATATATTTATTTATACCAAATGGTAGGCGTTTTGATGGTTGTCATTAGCTCTTCAGTTGACTTCAGGCTTCACATAGGGGAAGGAACATCAAAGTGAAAAAATAGAGAGTGTTGGTGGGGGGGGGGGGGGGGGACAGAAGAGTGTTTCAAAGATGTAAAAGAGACAAACACAAAGGTAGAAAAAAGGTGAGGTGAGTACTGTGGAAGTGCTGGAATATGACATGCAATGGGGTGATGGCAGTTTATAGACTTTTTGCCGTATGAGTGTATTTTGCCCAGGGTGCAACATGGAGGTAAGTTTATCGCACACCCCGAAATTGAAATAATAATTACACGAAGATTCGCATCCTTCAGGTCAAAAAAATAGGAAGAGTGTGATTGCCTGCTCAACTTCTTTCTTTTGTTATGATTTCAAGGAGACCACTTTAGGCTGATGAGAGTTCGTTTGAGAGAGTTTTCAACTCATCTGTCCAATGTGAGCTAATAATGAAGCAAACGAAAGCACTCCTGGATCCCCAAGGAAAATATATGCAATTCACTTTGTACTAAATTTCTTCAACGGCTAATCGAAAATAGTGCGAAGATGTTTGATAGAGGTAGGCTTCAGAAGAAAGTCGAGACATGAAATGCATTTTTTTTCTTCGAAATTGGAACCGTCTAATGCCTTATCTACGGTGCATGCCGTAAAAATCGAATTGATTCATCGTCAGTTTTTAAGTTAATGGCTAGTTCCTATGATGATAACAGTAGGCATGACATAAAGGTTACGCAAACAGTGCTCATATTCTTCCACCATCAAAGTTCAAACATGCAATTCCGCCTTACCATAAAATTATACTTTCCTTAAATTTATAAATTAGTTCCCAATCGTTTAAATTGGTTTTGGTTTAAGTCAATCTTAATTTTATTAAAGTTCAACATGTGTTGCATCGTGTGTGGTATATAACTGCGCTAGATTCGCCCTACAAAATTAAAGTCTGCCGGCTTTTTTAGCCATCCAGGATTCAAAACAAAATTTTATTAATATAAGATAATTACTTTTTTCCTTTTTTTTCTGATTTAAGTTTAAACTATGTAATGGCAATGCATATCCATGGTAGCATCGAATTCAATCTATTCAGTTGATGGATTATGTTAAGACTTCCTAAAAGTGCATCGGGAATATCAACCTCGTATCACTCACTCACAACATCCAAAGGACACACCTTCCTCAGTATTTGCAGTCACACTCTTACTCACCCCCTTTTCCCAAATGACCCCTACTTTGCTCTTTCTACATCTGGGTTTGTGGGAGAGGGAAGGAGGGGGGGGGGATAGTAAGAGGATAAAAGTTCAATTGTACTCTTGAACTCTATAATAACCATAGTACATATATGTATCCTCAACAATTTAGATGTTCTTTTTTTTCGTACCAAACGCCAAAAAACGTTAACTTGTAGTACCAAAGTGATTGGAATTAGGTTGTGG